GAGGGGGGATGCCCTTAGGAGGACTTGGTTTTGGAAATGTTTGTATTTGAGATGCCTATCCAAGCAGAGAGAGGGACGGTGATTGAAGGGACAAATTCCTGGAGAAGACAGGATTAAGGAACAAGTAGAGAGATTCTAGCCTTATCATTCCACCAGCACTGCTCTCTCCTCCTTACCACATCCAGCGGCCTCTCCTCCATCCTCATTCTCCTTGACCTCTCTGCAGCCTCCAACACAGTTGATCACTCTTTGCTCCTTAATACTCTCTTCTCTCTAGGTTTTTAGCACACTCCTCTCCGCTGGTTCCCCTCCTACCTCTCTGACCACTCCTTCTCTGTCTCCTTTGCTGGATCCTCACCCAGATTACACCTTCTAACCATTGGTGTCCCTCCCGGTTCTGTCCTGGGCCCTCTTCTCTTCTCCCACTATACTACTTCCCTTGATGAGCTCATCAGCTCCATGGAGCTCTCACAACTACCTTTCCTGCCCCAAACTCCCTGGTGACCTCCAATCTCAAATATCCAACTGCCTTTCAAACATCTCCCACTGAGATGTCCTGTAGACATCTCAAACTCAGTATGTCCAAAACAGAACTCGTTAGCTTTCTCCCAAAATCCTCACCCCTCCTACTTGCCTTATTGCTATAGAGGGTGTCACCATCCTCCCAGTCCCTCAGGCTCAAAACCTAGGAGTCAACCTGGGTTCCTCACTGTCTCTCATCCCCCATATCTAATCTGCTGCCAAGGCCTATTCTCTCTCCTGCAGTCTCTCCCCTGAATGTCCCCTTCTCTCCTCTGATACTGCCACCACTCTACTGCAGACACTCATCACCTCACCTCCTGGACTATTGAAATAGCTGCAGGTGCGATGACCAATATTGATGAACTTAACCCTTCCCAGCAATACAAGGATCTAAAACATCTCCAAAGGCCTCGTGATGGAAAATGCTATCCACATCCAAAGAAAGAACTATGGAGTTTGAATGCAGATCAAAGCATACTATTTGCTATTTTTTTTTCTTCTGTTGAGTTTTGTTTCCTCTTTCTGGTGGTTCCTCCTATTGGTTCTAATTCTTACAACATGACTAATGTGAAAATATGTTTAATAGGAATGTATATGTATGGCCTATATCAGATTGTGCACCGTCTTGGGGAGGGTGGTGGGGAGGAAGGGGGAGAAAAATTTTAAACTCAAAAGCTTATGGAAGTGATTGTTGATAAGTCAAAATAAATTAATTTTAAAAAAGAAAAGAAATAGCTGCAGGTAGGTCTGCCTGCCTCATTCACCTACGCACCAGATAATAATCTGGTCATGTCAGCCCTCTCTCCCTACTCAAGAAATGTCAATGGCTCCCCATTGCCTCTCAGATCAAATACAAAATGCTCTGTTTGGCATTCAAAGCCCTACGTAGGGGCAGCTAGGTGGCACAGTGGATAGAGCACTGGCCTTGAAATCAGGAAGACCTGAGTTCAAATCCGGCCTCAGACCAAACACTTGACACTTACTAGCTGTGTGACCCTGGGCAAGTCTCTTAACCCCAATTGCCTAAAAATTAAAAAAAAAAATACAAAGCCCTACGTAACCAACTCCTCCCTCCTCCCACACTCACCTTTCCGGTCTTCTTCTACTTTGTTCTACCACAGGTACTCTCAGCTCCTGTGACATTTGTTCATTCCATCACCAAGACACTCCATTTCTGGGCCTTCTTTCTGGCTGTTACCCATGCCTGGAACATTCTCCCTTCTCCACTGGCTTCCTTTAAGTCCCAACTAAAATCCATCTTTTAAGGGAAGCCTTCCCAAACCCCTTTTAATTCTAATGCCTGCTCTCCATTAATTATTTCCTATTTATTCTGTATACAGTGTACTTTTTTTAAATATTTGTTTTATGTTGTCTCCTCACAAGGACTATCTTTTGCCTTCCCAAACCCCTCTTTTCCCCTTTATTAATCACTCCCCTATTTATCCTGTATGTGGGAGTGCTTGTATATATTTGTTTGCTGTGTCCTCCCCCTACCAATAGATAATGAGCTCTGTTTGCCTCTTTTTGCATCTCCTGTGATTAGCACAGTGCCTGGCACATAAAAGATGCTTAATAAATGTTGATTGATTGATTGGTGTTTACCAGAAGAAGTCTTCTCCTCTGAGACCAGATCAAAGAGAGAGTAAATAGGTGGCCTATTGAGTTGATTCGAAGTATGGAATTGGGGAGGAGAGGCAGATCACAACAGATGAAGTAACACACTTTTATATTCATCCTCTCATTTTTGTTTCCATATTGTATTCTTGTCTCTTAAAAAAAATAAGTTAGTTGATGAATTTCCTGCACAGATACATAGGTCTCTTTAATTCAGTTCAATTCAGCAAACAATAAGTGACTACTCTATGCCAGCCGCTGTCTTTGGGCAGCTGTTCCTCTTCCTCCACATTGGAATTATTTCTATTTTTGGTTCTGAAGTCAGAGAACCTGAGTTCAAATCTCACCTTTGATGCTTATTACCTATGTGACCTTGGACAAGTCACTTAACCTCTATGAGCCTCAGTAAAATGGGGGTGGGTGAACTAGATGACCTCTGGAGCTAAATCTATGCTCCTATCATCTTATGAACCTCCAATCCCTCCCAAGCTGGTTTCTCTTAAATAATTTCAGGCCATGAGATCCAAGCTGCCCTTTCTATGAACCCTTTGAGATCTGACTAATGCCTGGATTTCCTCTCTTCTGTCACAAATTTGGAAATAGAGTGGTCACCTTCCCCTGAAATTCCAGTTCTTCCTTGTTGGTCAATATCAGGTCCAGAATGTCAGTTTCCTTCCTGACTTCCTCCACCATTTGAAAGAACAAGCAGTGAATATCTGAGCGACTCTTAAACATAATAGACTGTTAGAGTGCCAAGAAAACAGGGCTTTAAGGAGAGTGGTTTGCATTCTTCCTAACTGGGGAAAGAAAGGTTTATGCATCTGATAATTTTGGAGTCTAATTCTGTGTGGTTTGCTGAATGAGTAGGTGAGATGACTGACAAATGAGTTTGGTAGAGACTAGAAAAGGGAATTAGGTCCAAAATTATATAAGAAGATCCCAAACTGCTCCATACTACAAAAGTCCCTCTTTTCTTAACACCCGTGAAGTACCTGGGGTCCCCTTCACACGTGAGTTTCCTGACAGCTACTCCAGATGCAAGGAATAGTGGAGGGCAGCATCCACTCAAAGATCATAGCTATAAGCCCCCACCAATCTATTTCTTTAATACCCAAACAGAGGAAATATTAATTCAAAGCAAAAGATATTCAATCAATGACTAAAAAGATTTCCCCCTTATGTACACTTTCCCGTGGGTCACCACAAAATCAGGAATACACATGAGGAATACTCTTGTCCAGACAACATAAATGTAGGGAACATGTGGCCAGGAAATACCACGAGTCAGGGCAACTCCTTTTTCTGGTAGCTTTCCTGAAGTGGCACTGATTTCTTCCAGCAATATAATCGGGCTGAGATAATTTCTGCTGTTGTTACTGATCACAGCTGGCTGTCTCTGTTGAACTGCCGCTGCTTTCCAGTTATTTTGTATCCTGTTTCCCCCACTGGCGGAAGGGTCTATCAGCTCTTTTGTATGATAGCCTCAGGGGCTTTGTTAGCTCTTTTGAGATGAGGACCTTTGCCAATAATACCTAGCCAGAGAGTAGCCAACCTGCCCACTAATAGCTAGAGAAGCCTTAGTCATTTGAGGCTGTTTTTTGAACTACACTCCTCTGCTGCCACTTGAATCGCACCATTCTAAACTCTTATGTGACAAAAATCCTTTTAACTGCTGCCCTGGTTGCCCACCTGGGTCCCTGAAAATCATTCCTGGAGTTCTCAGTAAAATTACAAAGAAACTGAGTGGAGCTGTGACAAGGATTCCTCTCAATTCCTATCATGCTCTTGGTCTATCACTTTAGGAAGAAGACAAAAGGACTTAGTGTAGCTGATGACCTTTGATCTACTTCCCCCTAACAGCCAAAGCAGTATACATCCTACACCAGTATTTTCCCTACAATACTATATGGCTGCAATTCAGTGAGCTCTGTACTCTCAGAAGATTACAAGTGTTAGGTGACCCAAAGGGCAATGAAAAGATGGACAGTGGGTGTCGGCAGGCTACATAGCCTATACAATGGCTTATGGGAAAGAGGTGGCATAAAAGATATTATCAGGGACGTCAATGACCACAAAAGAAAGGGGTCTGGCTGGCTGTGAATGTAGCGAATGGCAAAGATAACACATAGAGCTTCAGTACTGTACTGGTGTCCTTGAAATGGTAATCAAACCAGAAGAAGCCTTCTACAACACTGGGCAGATAAAAGACATTTCTAAGAATCCCAGTGGAGGAGAGGACATGGAGAAGCCGTAATAGGCATCTTTTGGGGGAAGTACCCCACACCCGGATTAAATTATAAGATGCCCCCAGAACACTGAATACAGTGCACATCACTGATTGAGCCTAAAATTTTACAGATGTGTCTTATAAATAAATACCTTATCTGCCTGAAGGCAGGATACTGGACGAGATGATCTCAGAAGAAGGATTGGTTTTCGGAGGAAGGAGCAGACACTTAACTCATCTTGTGACCAGAACAAGTCCTTGTACCTTTCTAAAATGGGAATAATGGTGTTTGTGCTGCTTACCACACAAGGTTGTTGGGAGGAGGACACTTGGCAAACTGTAACATATTATATAGATGTGAGTCGGGGTGGTAGGGCTGGCTATTATTATCTCTTAAAGTTCCTTCTGTCTCTAAGATCTCAGAGTCTATGATTATGCCTCACTTTTCTCTCCTGTCTTAGGAGGTATGCAGCCTGAGGCACACCTCTGTACATTTGGGGGTGAGGAAGAGATGTTGGGGGGGAAGGGGATAGAAGCTGTCAGAGAGACTCATTCTCTCTAACATGCCTGAGGTTAAATGAAGACCAAGAAAACACTTGGGAACTTCACTTTTTATTGCAGAAATTGATATCTTTTCCAGTCCTTGAAAATTTGCAAAGTATTGTTCATTTGGGTAAGCTGGGATTGCTGGGTGAGCTACCAATTGTGGGAGTTTTTCAAGGACCCCAGGTCTGCTATCTCAAGATTAGCATGGGCAGCCTGAGAAGTATCTATGTGGGAAAAAAAGAGAAACAAGTTAAAAAGAGAGAGAGAAAATCAGCAGATAGGTTTCTATCATGCCCCTGGGGATTGATACTTTAGTTCAGAAAAGTATCCTTTCAAGGCATTGCTCCCATCTTTAGAGTTTCACAATGGTTTGGTTTTTATGTCTATCTCTTGTACATAGAACAATAGATAGGGCTTCAGATGTCCTGGTGGGGGATCTGGTTCTGAGTTCCCATTTTGATACTTTTTCTTGGCAAATCACTGAGTCACTTACCCTTTATGAATCTGAAAGAAGTGGGAAAAGTCAGACTCTCAGAACCTACCTCATAGGGATGTTGGGAGAAAACAACTCCATAAACCCTAAGCCTTCTATAAATGTGAGTCACCATTTCTTTAACATTTTAAAGTTTGTAGAGTGCTTCACAAATATTATCTTATTTGATCTTCGTAATAGCCCTGGGAGGTAGGTGCTATTATTATTCCCATTTTACAGCTGAAGAAACTGAGGCAGACAGAAGTGTTATGTGACTTGCCTAGAGTCACATGGGTATAATAAGTGTCTGAGGCCAGATCTGAACTCAGTTCTTCCTGAATCCAGGCCTGGTGCTCTATCCACTGTGCCACCATTTTATAGGTGAGGAAACTAAGACCCAGAAAATTTAAGCGACCTATTCAACATCACCTGGCAGGTTTGTGGGAGAATTAGGACCTAGATTTCAACCAGTAATCTCAGCACTGAGACCCATCTCCTACGTGGCTCCCTCTCCCCTATGTGTCCCTCCCTTTATCCTCTCCCTTTTTCACTCCTAACCTCTTCCACCACTTTTCTCCATTCCTCCCAGGCTATTCATCCTTTCCCCTTCCTTTTTCCTTCTTACCTGGTCCCAGAGGCCACAATACTAGTGACAGCTCAGGTGTCATCAAAGTGCCATACCCAGGATATGAAAGAGGGAAAGAGCCCCAGGAAGTGAATCCAGCAGCAGAAGCAACCCTCGGCCCCTGCTGCCCACCAGGAGTTCTTACCAGCAGCAGAGGAAGATCACAGGTATGTGGTGTTCCTGAGAAAAGACTCAAACATCTTCAGAGCCTGAGCAGGTCGGTAATGGGGAACCATGAGTCCAGTGCCCTGTGGGTCAGACAGAGAGAGAGGGGTGAAGAGGAGTCCAGGGAGGAGACAAAGGAGAATCCAAATGGGAACGAGGATACAAGCTCCCCCAATGTGGGCTTGGATTGTGGGAAAGTAGGGTCGCGTGGCCAGTGTGGCAGATGTAATAGGGATGAAGCAGTGCTAGGTATTAGTCTCTGAAATCATGCCTAGGGAATGAGAAAAGGTAGGACTAAGCAATATCTCTTGGCTCGGGCTAAGGCTATCCAGGAGATACCAGTAACCCCACAGAAAGATAGCAGCCAAAAGGACCTGCCTGCCCAAGGTCCCACCCGAACCTTACTACATCACTTCAATTCCATTCTGCTATGTGCAGAGAAGACAGAGTGCTGGACCTGGGAAACAAGAACAACGAGATCGAAATCATGCTTACTAGCCATGTGACCATGGGTAGATCATTTCAGTTCTCTGAACCTCAGACAACTTTTGAAGACTAAGTTATAGGAAGTTGTAGTTATGGTCAGTTAGGTAGTCAGTGACTAGAGTGGTTTAAGGTTTCCTGGAAGTTGGGATGACCTGAATTCAAACTCTGCTTTAGATACTTACTTAGCTCTGTTTTCTTGGGCAAGTCATTGAATCTTTGCTAGCCTCAGTTTACTTATCTGTCAAATGGACCTGAGTTCAAATCTTGCTTCAGACACTTAACTCTATAACCTTGGGCAAATCATTGAATCTTTACTAGCCTCAGTTTAATTATTTGTCAAATGGAGATAACCTCTCCCAGGGTTGTTGTAAGAATAAAACAAGATCATGCTATATATATACACACACACACTGCTTTGTGAACCTTAAAGCAATAGATAAATGCTAGCTATTATTAACTTGTACAGTTGAAATCACAGGTTCTGGATAGAATGGATGTGTACAGAGCACTGTGAAAGCTCTGCTCCAATCAGACTGACCTAGTCCCCTTCCCCACACCCCCAAATACCATCTATAACACAAAGAGGTGGATGGTATAGTGATAAAGCTACAGCCTTAGGTACGTGCTGTCTCCTCTAGAGGCAAGTCAATAAAGGATGTAAAATGCCTGACAGTAGAGACTGTGTCATATTTTTTTTTATCTTTGTATTTTTTTTTTTTGGGTTAGGCAATGGGGTTAAGTGACTTGTCCAGGGTCACACAGCTAGTAAGTGTTATGTGTCTGAGGCCGGAATTGAACTCAGGTCCTCCTGAATCCAGGGCTAGTGCTCTATCCACTGTGCCACCTAGCTGCCCCCCTATCTTTGTATTCTTTTCACCTAGTGGTGCACTGCACATAGTAGGTACTTACCAAATGCTTATTGAATTAATTTTAATTCACCTCCACCAGTGGTGGCTTTTGAGTTCTTTTGACCGAGACCTTCCTTGGGTTTCAGTTCCCCTATTTGCCTTATTGAGAACCTTAAGTATATAACCTGTAGTAAGATTATTTTTCTCGGCTCCCATCCTCCTCAGAAATACTCCCATCTCCATAAGATCATAAGGCATATAACCAGAAGAAACTTTAAAGTTCACCTAGCCCCTCGTTCTGCAAGTATAGTCCAGGGACCACTGGGGGTCCTGGAGGTCAAATATATTTTCATAATAATACTAAGATGTTTTAATTTCTATTTCAGTAACAATCTATAGAATAATCAATTGATAAATACTTATTAAGTGCCTATTATGTGTTAGGCACTGAGCCAAACACTAGGGATACAAAAAGAGGCAAAAGGCAGTCTGTTCCCTCAAGGAGCTTACAATCTAATGGGAGAGAAAACATGTAAACAACAAGATAGCTATGACCCACATGAACAAAAGTTCTTTGGTTGGGAGTCCTCAATAATTTTTTCTAGTGTCCATCATATTATATCCTATATATTTTTTAAACTATTTTTATTTCTTAAAGGCAGGTTCAATTCATTGTCTGTGGGGTGCAGATTATCTGTAAATGATTATGATGCCAAAAAACCCAACTAAACACACCACAAAAGGAATTAAAATGACAGCAAAAGAAGGAAAGTAAACATTTCAGGCTCTAGCTTGATCTTTAAAAAAACAACAAAATCAAATTGTAAAAAAATTTAGAAGAGTGTAAAGGGGCCCTGGAATCAAAAAGTTTGAAAACCTCTGATCTAGTCCAATCCTCTCCTTTTACAGAAAAAGAAACTGAGACCCAGAGAGGCTGAGTGATTTGCCCAAGGTCACAGAACCAGTAAGAGCGAGAGTCCTAAATAAATCCAGGACCTTGGGCTCTAAACCCAGATGCCTCCTCACTCTGCTAAGCTGCCTCTGTCCATTCACACCTAGTTCTGATGTTTTCATTACGGGTTCCCTTCAACCTCTCAGAGCCCTTCAACAGTTTGGAAAGATTCTCTCCCTTTGAGCAGCCCCGAGGGGACCAATCATGGGTTCAAGTCCACCAAGAGCTCCAGTGGTGAGCAGGTGACAGAGTACCTTACCTTGACAGTGAGGAAGGTGATTTGCTCATATTCCTTGAAGAATCCAGCAACCTGCCTCTTATAGTACCAAGGCCGGTAGAGAGTCATCACCTGTAAGAACCAGGGAAAGTGGGACAGCCTGAGCTACTGGCCTGTTAACAGCAAATTCCATAAGCATTTGCTAAGTACCTACTGTGTGCTGGGCTCCTTGCTAAGCTGGAGAGGATACACAAAGTCATCCTGCCCCTAGAATCCTCCTCACTCCTTCAAAGCCATCCTTAGGGTTGCCCCAGCCCTCTCCTGAGGCTGCAGCTACCAGGGAGGAGAAGTTGGCTCTTAAGCATTCAATTTGAATTTCTAACCACCTTTCTAATAAATTTCTAAACACCTTTGCAAAGCTCTTCTCTACATCTCCCCCACACCAGAAAGCTGGCTGTCCTTTTGTAACTTCTTTTAGAAATCTGATCTTCCTGGATACAAACATGTTCTAAGCAAGAGGTTCCCATACTTCCTCTAAGCCCTCCACCTTGACCTTCTAACTCCGCCACCCCCTTTCCTTCTTACGGGCTGGTTTAGGAACTCCACAAACTTCTCTGCTCCCAAGAAGTTGCAAGCCATGTCAGTGTCTCCATTGTACACCAAGACACGGATGTTGCTCTGCAGTAACTCCTGGCAGAAGGGAGCCATATCCATGTACTGCCTCTGGTATTGAGAAGTCACCTGGGTGCTGGAGGGAGGAAGACGACAAGGAGGAGCAGACAAAAAAATATAGTAGAGGGAGACTGGGAGTCAAATCAAATCAATATCAAATCAAAATCAATAAACATTTATTAAGCGCCCACTCCATGCCAGGCACTGTGCTGGGAATACAAAAAAAAAAAAAGGCAAAAGATAATCCCTGTTTTTAAGGGGCTCTTAATCCAATGGGGGAGATAACATGAAAACAAATATTTAGAAAGTAAACTATATACAGAATAAATAGAAAACAATTAATAGAGGGAAGGCTAGAATTAAGAGGGATTGTGGAAGGCTTTTTGTAGAAGATGAGATTTTAGTTGGGACTTAACAGAAGCCAGGATGCTCAGTGGTCAGAGCAGAGGAGGAAGAGTGTTCCAGGCATGGGGAAGAGCAAGGGAAAATGACTGGAGTCTAGAAATGTGAGTACATGGAGGAGAGTAAGGTTCTAAAAGTCTAATCCCACAATCACAGGGATAGTCATTCAAATATATGAGGACAGTTATCATGTTTTTAATCTCTAGGACCCTTCCCTTAATTCTCACCCCATTCTCAGTAGCCCAGGAGCCTGAAGCTAAGTGCCCTGAGAATTGTCTTGCCAAATTACTGGCTTTGCCTCTAGCACAGAGCTTGGAGCCACCATCCAGTGAAGGAGCTAGATGCCCCAGCTACTGAAGATGAGGAAGAGAAAGTTCTCACCACCCAAATCCTTAGCACTGACAAGTGGTTCAACATCAGAAATGGATATGGTTTTATTAGTGGAAGTGACAGTAAAGAAGATACTGTGATTGATTGAATGAATGAATGAGCGCTTATTAATCCTTTACTAAATTCTAAGGACTGGGGATATAAATAGAAAATGGGGATTAAAATGACCATCATAAAGACCATGGAACCTTTCCATGTGACTTAAAGCTGAAATCTCCTTCACATGTGACTTCCCCAGTAGAATGTGAGCTCCTTGAGAGTAGAAGTTGTCTTCATTTTTTATTTGTAACCTCAGTGCTTTGCACCTATTATATACTTAATAAAAGCTTTGTCATTAAACTCATTCATCCATTCATCTCTCACCAGTTTCTTTATCTGACCTCAGCAAGTTCTTTCTACTGCAACACAATTTTCCCACTTAGCCTTCCCCCCCCAACACATGTTTGTCTCTGTTGGTAAGCACCAAAGGAAACCCCTGAAGTCCCATTGGGAGCTTCCCCAGCCATGATTGTTGTTTGTCCTTCATTCTCAAAGAGGACTATGGCATCAGGAAGATGATATCATTCTCTTCTTGGTCTTTTAAGAGAGACTTTCTTCCCCACGCACAGAATAGCAAACAACCGCCTCACCTGCAAGGTTCCCAATTGGGAAGGAATACAGGAATATGGACGGCCTGCCTCACGTTGTCCTGGTTCAACCACACATACATAGCTGTGGCACTGATGCACCTGGGGATTCCAGGGATGGGCACTCCTAGAGGCTAATGGCAAACAAGGAAAAGGGTAAAAGATTCAGGAAGGATACACATCAAAAGCCCAGAAACCCCTGGAACTGATTCCTGAGTTGCTCCCTCCCACTCCCCCTACCCCAAGACTGAACCTTCACAAAATCTTATTTGAGATTTAGGGTGCCTTTTAGGGTGCCTCTCCCTCTCTCCAACAACACCCAGGTTTCCTCTTTAACCCCTTATCCCAAGACCATCTCTTCCTCCCCATCTGTGCTCCCATCATAGTAATAACTCATGCAGTGCTTCAGGACCTCATTTCATCCTCATAACTCTGTAAGGTAAGTAGTACACATATTATTGTTCATTTTAGAGATAAGAAAATTGAGGCTCTGGGAGGTTACAAGACAAAGGCTCTTTCAACTACACCATGCTGCCCCCATACATCCAGAGTATAACTTCAGACAGGGAGGAAAAGGCAGAGGCAGTCTCAAGAATGTAATGGACGGTAAGGGAGGGACTGAACATAGGTAACTAGCCACTTTAAAGCCTCAAACCATTCCTGAGAGATACTTCCTGGGCTAGACACTGAGGGAGATTCAAAAGTTAGATGAGACAAGGACAATTCTAGAATAAATGAATGAATGAATGAATGAATGAATGAATATAGCATTCATTAAGTGCTTACTATGTGCCAAAACTCTGTTAGGCTCTGGAAATACAAACAGAAAAGCAAGAAGTCTTGTTCTCAAGGAGCTTACACTATAAGAGTAGGGGGTTATGACACATAGACAAATAAGTATGCTACAAGAATAAAATACATAAAAATTTGTAATAATGGTGTTAAAGAGGGGGCAAACATAAAGTTCTTTGTGAGGTCCTAGGAGGGAAAAGTCATTTCTGGCCTGGGAAGATTAGGGAAAGCTTTCTCTGAGAGGCAGAGTATGAATTGGGCTTCAAAGAATTAGGTAGGTTTGGAACCCAAAATTTTAAAAACAAAAGTTAAAAGAAATTGTTTTCACATGCAACTGGGAAATAAGATATACAGGAAATGGGATATAGAAATCTATCCTGCCCTACAGGAAAATTGAAGGGGAAGGGGATAAGAGAAGGGGGGGAGAAACAGAAGGGAGGGCAGATTAGGGGAAGGGGTATTCAGAATGCATGCCATCTTGGGGTAGGGGTAGGGACGAGATGGGGAGAAAATTTGGAACTCAAAATCTTGCGGAAGTGAATGTTGAAGACTAAAAATAAATAAATTAATTAAAAAAAAAGAATTAGGTAGGAATTTAACATGAGGAAAGGAAGGCATTTCAGGCAAAAACTTTATAAGGGTGTGAATGTCATCCTTAGTGACTTTTCTCTTAGTCTTGTACAACTTTTAGGTCAGCACACATATCCCCTCCCCCCCATCTCTACTCCTATTAGGGCCAAGGTTTCCTTGGTGCAAAATGTTCCCAGTAAACTGCTACATATATTTTTTTTTTCATTAGATCAGGGGTTTTTAACCTAGAGTCCATGAACTTGCCTTTTAAAAATTTTTATAATTGCATTTCAAAGTAATTTGTTTCCTTTGAAATTCTAGATTTATGTCATGCATTTAAAAACATGATTCTGAGAAATCTCTGGAGATTTCACCAGACTGCTAAAGAGATCTGCAGCACAAGAAAGATTAAGAATCCCTCTATTAATTTGATTAGCATCTTCAAATCCACCTGTATACCTTTTTTTTTGGTAAATATTTTTTTCCAATTGCATGTAAAGATAGCTTTCAAATTTCGTTTTTATAAGATTTAGAGTTTCAAATTTTTTTCTCCTTCCCTCCTTCTCCTCCCTCCTTCCCAAGATGTAAGCAATCTGATATGTTATACATGTGTAATCATGTAAACATATTTCCACATTAGTCATGTTGTGAAAGAAGAAATAGAACAAAAGGGAAAAACCACACACACACAAAAGGTGAAAACAGTATGCTTGGATCTGGATTCAGACTCTATAGTTCTTTCTCTGGATGTGGTTAGCATTTTCCATTATGAGTCTTTTGGAGATGGCTTGAATCATTGTATTGCTGAGAAGAGCTAAGTCTATCAAAGTTGATCATCTGTCTGCCTCTTTTTAGGCCAGTGCCTTCTATAGTGCATTGATCTTAAATGTTTGTTGGGATTAAATTGGAATCTCTCCTTTTCCACTTAATGAATCGCAGAAAAGTAAGAAGCACTCTCCTCAAATCACATAATATTAGCACTAAAAGAGATTTTAGAGGTCATCTCATCAAACCCTTTCGTTTTACAGATGCGGACAGTGGTGCCCTGAGAAGTTGGGTGAGTTGAGCTCTCAGGGCTCCCAGCTCTAAATCTGTCCCTCTTTCTGTCACACCAAGACGTCTCCCCCTTGTTCAGGGCTGCTGCCCAACAGGACTGGACACCCCAGCCTGACTCTGCCCTCCCACTTACAGAAGGTCCCTCTTCTTGCTTACCGGCACTGCCACGCTGAACTGGTATTTGCTATACAGGTTGCTCATGTCAGCGGCGTAGCGCTCCTGATATCCTGCAGTCCCCCAATATGGTGAGTGGAGGTTGTAGACATTGAGGCCCACCCCCTGGATCATTCTGTACGCCTCCAGGATCTGCGGAGAGACCAGGTGGGAGGCACTGCTAAACTGCCCACACTTCTTGGCACGGCTCCCTTCCTTCCTTCCATCACTGCCCACCCTAAACCTAGTCATCCCTTAAGGAAGCCACGTCCCAGGTAAAGGTGGGGTGGGATGGAGTGTAGTGGGACTGAGATTGTCTGGTCCATTCTCCTGAGATTACCCAAGAAGAGGTAACACGTACTGCCCCAGCACTGACCAAGCTAGAATCTACAGGATCCCCGAGGCTTTTTTGCCTCCCAAGTTTCAAAAGCTCAGGGTGCCCTCCTAACTCTGGGGTATTTGTGCCAGAGTTTCTAACCTGAGCCTTCCAGTCCTGGGGGTCAGGTATCCCTTTCCTTGGGCTTGGAGAGTCCCCCCACCTTCCCCTGTCCCCCAGCCCAGGAGTCCACGGAAAGAGGGGGAGAGCTAAGAGCCCAGGTCCCGGTTGGGGCTTAGAAGCACCCCGCGCGCCCCCCGGCCCGTCTCCGTAGTTTGCTGAACCTCCCGGGCGGGCAAAGATAGGACTTACGGAATCGAAGCAGGTGTCTTGGGTGCTGTTATAGAAGTTGCAGGCGTCCTCGGAGCAGCAGGAGGTGTTCAAGGAGTCTCAGAGGCTGCGGGCAGAGTGCAAGGGGAGTGAGAAGCGGGGGAGGCGCGCATGGGCTTCGCGCTGTCGCCCTCCCCCAGGGGGAGTTTCCACCGAAGCCAACCCCAGCCACCCTCCAATCCGGAAAGGCCAGTCGCATCCCACCACCTCCTTTCCACAGTTAGGTTACGGGTCTGTTAGACTAACTGATCCTCTAACGCAGCGGCCGCATCATTGGCATTCCACTGGGCTGCAGCCAGCGACCATATTTAACATTATTATTCTTTCTAATGGTATGGATTCGAATCCGTGCGACCACTTCAGGAGAGTCCTTATTCACACTAATTGGGACCTGGCTGTACCTCCGTGAGCTCGGGCAACTCACTTAACCCCCCTAAGCCTCAGTTTCCTCATCTGTGAAATGAGTGGGATTGGACTCTATAACGTCTAAGGCGCCTTTCATTTCTAAAAATGTATGATCCTAGGGCCCATGAGGCTTGAGCTGGGAGATGAGTGTCATTTTGGGGGCCAGGGCTGCTGGGGAGGTCGTTCATACATTCAATGAATCAATCAGGCAATAAGTATTTGTTAAGCTCTCACTATGTGCCCCAGGCACCGTGCTAAAACTTTTGGGACACCCTGTATAGAGGAACTTTTTGTAGGAAGAACAGGAAACAAAGCAGGTGCCATCCACTGGGATATGGGGAACAAATATTTGGTACATGAAGGCAAAGAGATATCACTGGGCTGTTAGAAATGAATGTGGAAAACGCAGGGAGGCTTGGGCAGTCTTCAATGAAGTAATGCAAAGGAAAGAAAGCAAAACCAGGGAACCGATGGGAACTTGGACCACAGCGTTATCAATGACAACAGCAATGATAACACCGACAAAAAAAGCAATCAAAAGTGAATGTTCCCTGGTTACTGTGAATGAGCTTAGCTCCAAAAAAGAGATGGGGGAAGGCACCTTCCCTTCCTCTTTTTCAGAGTTGGGAGATTCCACAAGGGAAACCCAGTATACATTGTTGGTTAGTTTTGAAGAACAGTATTCTTCTCCTCTTTCTTTTTATTCTTTATTATAAAGGATGGCTTTGATGGAAAGAGATGTAAGGGAATAAACCAGTGCAGGGATAGAGCACTGACTGGGCCTGGAGTCAGGAAGACTCTAGTTCAAAGTCACTGGCACATACTTACTAGTTGTTTTACCCCTAGGCATCTTGGTCTCAGTTTCCTCATCTGTAAAATGGGGACTATAGTAGCATACCCTCCCAGGATTGTTGTGAGAATCAAATGAGAAAATATTTGTCAAACACTTTGCTGACCTTAAAGCACTCCATCAGGGCTAAAGCTCTTAGGAAGGAGATCTAAAAACAAGAGACATTAAAAAAGGTTTTAAATGTTTACACCATACAAAGCCACTGTGCTGGGGTATACAAAAATGAATGAAACAGCTCCAGCCCTATTGGAATTTATAATTCAGTAAGGAAAATAAGGCAGATGTGACTATGATGGTCATGGTAACAATGGCTTATATTTATAGAGGGCTTTATAGCTGGCAAAGTGCTTTATATCCATGATCTCCTGGGATCCTCATAAAAACCCTAAGGGAGAGCTCAGGGCAGGATAATCTCCATTTCATAGAAGAGAAAAGTGAGTCCCAGAGAAGTTAAGTGGCTTGCCCAAGGCCATACAGATAGTGTAAACTCAAGAATTCTAATGGAGAACTTCTACCATTCAGTCAATCAATCAACAAGCATTTATTATTTTTTTTTGTTTGTTTTGTTTTTGTTAGGCAATGGGGTTAAGTGACTTGCCCAGAGTCACACAGCTAGTAAGTGTCAAGTGTCTGAGGTCGGATTTGAACTCATGTCCTCCTGACTCCAGGGCCGGTGCTCTATCCATCTCACCACCTAGCTGCCCCATCAAGCATTTGTTATGCACCTACAGTGTGGCAGGCCCTTCTGGGCTTTAGGAATATAAAGGCTCTTTCCATTAAAAGTGGAAATTGCCTTTCATGGATTTATTGATGTTTGAGATGCAGCCACTTTACCTGTTCGGTCCATCTTGGTCCATTCTCTTTCCTCATAATTGCGGTATCTATTGCCTTCTTACTTCTTTTACAAATAAGCCTGTCTGGCTGTCCCTGCCTTTCTTTCAACCAAATGATGCAACTGAGGGCTGCCGCAGATGGGAAAAAAAGGCTCCTTCTGACCTTGCTAAAGTTTGTAGGGGAGAAGGGCAGGATGAGGAGGGAGAGACAAATACTCACTCACAGACCTCCCTCTAAGCTTACTTGTCTCCAATGATGCCATGGTAGTAACTGAACTCAAGGAGCATCTCATCATTGAGCTAATAGTTATTCATTCCGTTCCCTACACCAAAGCCCTGAATGGGAAAGATTGCTTTGTAGGTCCAGGAAGCCCCAGCACAGGCTGCACTGCTTTTCCATCCCAGACTGTCTGTGAAAAAAAGCATTAGATGAAGGGTTTAGAAAAAAAGGGGGGGGGGGGCAAGACTGATTGTTTTGTGTAAATTCTGGGGCTGGAAGAGTAAGTGGTACCTGGCTCAGGCCTGGACAGAATCGGTACCTATATTTACTGGGGTGTACGGGGTGTTCAGGAGAACTAGCAACTTTGGGGTGAGGGCTTTTGTTGTTGAGTCATTTCAGTCATGTCTGACTCCTATTTGGGGTTTTCTTGGCAAAGATACTGGAATGATTTGCCATTTCCTTTTCCAGCTCATTTTACAGGTGAGGAAACAGAGGCAAACAGGGTTTGCCTAGGGTCACACAGCTAGTAAGTGTTTGAGGCCAAATTTGTATTCAAGTCCTCCTGACTTCAGGGCCAGTGTTCTATCCACTGCACTACCTGGCTACTTGGTGTGAGGGCTTGCCAAGCTCTTTTCAGGGCAACTTTTGGTGTCCACCTGATTCACCCAGCTCCTACCTGTAGTTCCCAGAGGCTGTAGTATGTGCAGCTGCCATACCCTTGTAAACTGTCTCAGCAGATGGGCTAAACTAGGTTGAGGGTAACTGATAGGCCTCAAACCTGTCAGTGAGTTAAGGGGACGTCTACCCCAAAGATGTGAAGACTTTCCTCGGTAGAATGGGTGATGAGAACAATTAGGTCCGATGGCCATGAAGGCTGCTAAAGCAGACATTGGGAATGTTTAGCGCTTAGTCAGGCATCAAAGATGCCAAGGTCATCTACTGTATCCCAGGCCATTGCCAGGCATCTTGACCTTTGTCCTGCCACTGGACTTTTTTTTATTAATTTATTTTGATTTATCAACAATAACTTCCATAAGCTTTTGAGTTTAAAATTTTTCTCCCCCTTCCTCCCCACCACACTTCCCAAGACAGCACACAATGTGATATAGGCTATACATAAACATTCCTATTAAACATATTTTCACATTAGTGATGGGAGGAACCACCAGAAAGAGGAAACAAAACTCAACAGAAGAGAAAAAAATAGCAATTCAACTTTCATAGTTCTTTCTTTGGATGTGGATAGTATTTTCCATCAAGAGGCCTTTGGAGATGTCTTAGATCCTTGTATTGCTGGGAAGGGTTAAGTTTATCAATATTAGTCATCGCACAACGTGGCTGTTATTGTGTACAACGTTCTTCTGGTTCTGCCCACTTCACTCAGCATCAGACCATACAAATCTTTCTAGGTTTTTCTGAAGTCAGCCTGTTCATCATTTCTTATAGCACCTGCCACTGGACTTTGATGACTCGGGAAGAAAGAATAAGGCTGATGACTTAGTACAACTCTGCCTCACTTAAATCCAATTCATGCACAAGTCAAGATGTTACCCTTGACATCATTGATCCTCTTCAATGATGAAGGACAAACAACACCTGTACTTACTTCGAAATTGATGGAGGCTGGACCATTAACAATTTGAGCACTGACAGAGGGCACATAGACCCTGCCATAGAAGTCATTGCTGGTGAAGCTAGGGAATTTGGTGAAGAACATAAGGTAATTTGGTAAGGCCTGGCAATTATCAGCCACCACCTATAGACCAAAACCAAATAGTCATAGAGTCATAGAATGTCAGAGCTGTAAGGGACCTTGGAAGATAGAATGTCAAAACTAAAAAATGTCAAAAACTAAAAGAATGTTAGTCCTGGAAAGAAAGAGAATGCTAGAACAAAGACAGATGAAAGGAACCTTAGAAAATAAATTACTAGAACATGGAATGGCAGCTGGAAGGGACCTTAGAAGACAGAATATAAGCTCATTGATGTGAATGTTGGAGCTGAAAGGGGCCTAGGAAAACAGAATATTAGAACATGGAGTAACAGCTGGAGGGGACCTTGGAAGACGGAATGTTAGAAAATGCCAAATGGAGGGATCTGAGCCTATTGAACCATAGAATGCTAGAGTCAGAAGAGACCTTGAGATCATCTAATCTAATCCTTTTTTCCGCTTAGGCTGGGGCCATTTTGTTCTTGCATTTAAAGGAACTTGAACTCTCCTCCTCTCACCCCCACACACATACAGAGGCCCTGTCCCTTTCCCTCATCTCCACTCACCTGCTGATCATTAATTTTGTAGTTCTGGCTAGAGGAGTAGGAATAGCCCACTCTAGCCGGTAACTCCAGGTACAGCACGTTAGCCACTAGATTCCAACAATGGGGGTTCATGTAGAGGGAGCCATCATCATTTATCTGCACAGAAACACAGACAGATGGCATTGGCCTGCACAAAGTCACCCACTCACTGTTTGAGGTTGAGGCCAGGACAGAAAAGGAAACCCAACTCTCATTCTCTCTCCAACCCTCCCCCAGGCCTGGGAATTTCCCCATTCTCACCCTGTAAGGGCCATTCTCTGCCAATAAGCCTTCCATCGATCTGCAGCCAGGGCCTCCATTCAGCCACAGCACCAAGGGGCCAGACTCAGGGTTTCCCTGGGACTCCATAAACCTATAAGGCCAGGAAGAGAAAAATCCCTCTCCTCTGGTGAGATTGGCAGCTCTTCTAAAGAAGGCAGGTTCACAGAGAGGGTTCCCTGTTCCTGAGGATATTGGGGAAGGGAATGGGAACTTGGGAGCTAACCACGGGTAGGTATATATTAGGAAATGACTTAGGATGCCCCCCCTTTTTATTTAACCACCTCCAACACCACATTTGGGATTGGCCTGAGACCTGTGAAGTGGGATAAGTTCCAGGATCTAGACAGCCCTTGTCTCACTGCTGCAGTGATGGAGTTCTTGTCTCCTGGGGGTGGGGTTTTGTGGGAAGTGATTGATTTTTCATCTTTTCCCTCCTTGTCTGTTCCCTTGCATCATGCCCAGCCCCCTATGTCCTATACTTTGTTGACTAATTGAGAATAGGATCAGGAAGTTTTTCTGTTCTATAGGGAAGGGGGTTGAGTTTTCTGTTCTACAGGGAAGGGGGTCACAAGATTCTAGGATGTACATCTGGAAGGGGTCTTCGAGATCATCTTGTCCAATTTCCTCATTCCACAAGAGGAACATAAACCCCAGAGAAGTGAAATGATTTTTCCAAGATCACCTAGCTGGGAAATGGCAAAGCCAGAATCTGAAGGTCCAGTGCTCCTTCCATAAGACTGCAATGTGGCCTCTGACCCAGTGAAATCATAAGGAACTTTAACCAGGGCTGACCTTGGAATCTCCTGGAGTCTTCAAAGGGGTCTGTAAAGAGATTTCTAGGGGTCTATGAACTTAGGAAAACAAATGACCGATTGACATTCACTAACCTTTGACTTCCTTTGTAAGCCTATGTATTGTATTTTATGCATTTAAAAACCCGATTCTGAGAAGGGTCCACAGGTTCACTAGACTACTCCAGGATTCCAGGGTACAAGAAAAGTTCTATTCCATAGGCTTAGCATCCTGGGTGATAACAGAGGCAGAAGCAGGGACCCTGCTCAAGGAGGCTGAGACTCCCATGTTTTGCCCCAGGTAGTGATGCTGTTTAGTTGGGCAGGTCACTAAATCTTTCTGGGGCCAGGGAATCATCCCTCTCATGTCACGGAACTCACCAGTAATGGAAGTATTTGTCAGAACCAGCTTGGAGGTAGCCAGACCACTCCTTGAAGTTGGGTAGATCAGCCAGGCCAGGAAAAGAGGTGATAAGGTCTGGGGCATATTGGCTGGTGCTGAGGCACCAGCATAGGCTGGAGAGGGCCAGCAGGCTGCACAATAGTTGCATGATGACTGACCTTTAGGACTGGAGCACCCCATCAGCTTCTCCCATCTTTATATGCTCCATTGATAACTACTGATAGACATGACCTGCAGGCCAGCTCGGTACCAGTCATTGGGCTGCTCACCTGGGTGGGTAGGTATTCACCTTTAATATCATGAAGATTTGCACAGAGTAGCCTGGTCTTCTGGAGGGGCTGGAGTCATTCTGGGATTCTATGGAGCTTAAGGTCTTGAGGAAAAAGGAGAATCTTCTGGGGGTCCTAAAATCATGGATTTGTTTTTAACCTGGAGGGACTTCAGAGATTATGCAATCTAACATTCATTTTTACCAATGTGCAAATTGAAGCTCGAGGAGGGAGAGTCAGTCAGTCAAGAAGCATTTATTAAGTACCTACTATGTGCCAGGCTCTGTACTAAATGCTGGCAAAAGACAGCTTCTGTTTTCTCAGAGCTCACAGTTTGTTGGAGGAGACACCATGCAAATGACTATATATGTAAAGGATAAATGGGATATAATCTCAAAGAGACTGTGCTAGAATCTGGAAGAGGCCTCTTGCAGAAGGTGAGATTGGAGCTGAGTCTCATAGGAAATCAGATACCCAGAGACACATGACCTCAAGTAGGCAGCTGTGCATCCCTCCAGCGTGTTGACCTGATCCTTTCCCTTAGAAGCAACTTACCCAAGGTGATGCCACACCTGACTTGAACTCAGGTCTCCTGACTCACAGCCAAGGCCCCATGCTGCCCCAGTTGTCCCAGCATACCCCCTCTACGAAATGCAGGGATTGGACTGGGCGATCTCTGCCTGCTTCCTGTTCTGACATTCTGTGACTCAAAGACTTTGCAAGCTAGGGAGTATTATGATTCTGACACTTGACTTAACTCATGCCTCAGTTTCTCCATCTTTAATTGAGGGTGGATCACAACTGTGATGATAATAGGCCCAGGACACAGTCTTGAGCTAACTCCCTCTTGGTTGTCATCGGCTGAGATGGTTTTAAGTCCCTTGATCTCCCAGAGGATGACAGAGTTGTTTTGCCACTTTGGCAGAGGCCACCTCCCTCCCACTCCTGTGTCAGCAAACATAGTGAGCATTTGTTTCAAGCAGAGTTCCAAGGTCAGCATAAGGGAGGAGCCCAAGGGAACAGAATGTCGTTCTTGGGGGACACAGTCTTAGTCCTTGGGCACCCAGCCCAGGCTAATGGGGGAGATAATACAGATACATCTGCAAGACTTCCTGAGGAGGATGTGATTCCTGGGCATGGTTGGCCTGAGGGGAGGAAGGCAGGGAGATGCAGTAAGATAAATGTATCTGCCTCATCCATTCACTCAAAGGCGGGGTCAAGTGACCTCCTACAGGGAAAACGCTCAGGAATGGGAGAACATTTTCTTGACTGTAACAAGATCTGGTTCGATCCCTAGCCATCACAAAGGGGTTTTTGTGGAATAGGGGGGTGGTGGGTGAGTTCTAGCATCTATCAGGTGTGTGTTCTGCTTCTCCTAATCCAGAATGGAGCGCACAAGAGAAGGTATCTAATGGATAAATCTGTGTGGATTAATTTGATGAGGAAAAGAACAATTATTATCCTTTCTTAGGTTTAGGAAGGAAGGAGGGGACAAAGCATTTATGAAGTACCTACTATGTGCCAGGTATTGTGCTAAGCATTTTACAAGTATCTCATTTACTGGGAAATTGTAAAATTTCAGATGGCAGGGATTTGGGCTTACATTTTTCTGTGGCACAGAAACCAGTCTGTGCTTAGATGTCTGGACTTGGAATTAGGAAGACCTAGGCTTGATCAGTCTCAACATTTTCTTATCTGTGTGATCCTGGGCACACTTCACCTGTCTCAACCTCAGTTTCCTTATCTGTAAAATGAGGGATAATAATAGCACCTCCCTCTCAGGGAGGTTGTGAAGATGAGAGAATCTGTATAACAAGTGCTGCAAACCTTCAGGCACTCCATCAGTGCCTAGCTATTATTAGTAGTGTTATTATTCTGTTACAAGAATAATAGGATGTTGAAACACAGACTATAGAATGTTAGAGCTGAGCTGGAAATAGGCCTTAGATTATAACAGACTGGTGAAGACAAAGGATGCTCTGGCAATCACTTAGGCCTTCTCCTTTACTGTACAGAGAGGAGGAAACAGAGAGCCCATGAACTGTCAAAAATTATAAAGGGATATGGTGGCAGAATCAGGGATAAAACACGCATCTTCTAAGACTAAACCCATTGCTTCTGTTTGTTTGTTTTGTTTGTATTTGGGGTTAAGTGACTTGCCCAGGGTCATACAGCTAGTAAGCATCAGAAGTCGTATTTGAACTCAGGTCCTTCTGACTCCCGGGCTGGTGTTCTATTCACTGCTGTGCTTTCTTTTAAGTGGGTCTTGTCTTTTTTTGTGAGCCCTGTCTCTGATGCCTCTCCCCTCTCCTCTCATGCTCTCACACTTAGATTTTAAGATTGTTGTCTTTTGAATCCTCTCTAGGCTTCCCTTCTCTCCCTGCTGAACCCCAGCATGCACCACAGGGCTCTGCACATATTAAATCAATGATTAACCAGCAAAGATTGATTAAGTTGCCTACTGTGTGCCAGGCACTGTCCTAGGTGCTGAGGACACCAAAAGGGAACCGGAAGAAGCACTAGACTGGTAATTTCACTGGTATAGGGAGCTCCCTCTCCCCACAAAGCCATTCCAGCTTTAAAGGAGCTTACATTCTAAAATAAAAGTGACTATAAGAACATGTATTGGAGTCAGGAAGACCTGAGTTCAAATCCATCCTCAGACACTTAGTAGCTGTGTGACTCTGAGTAAGTCACTTCACCTTCGTTTGCCTCAGTTTCCTTAACTGGAAAATGAGGATAATAATAGCATCTCCCTCACAGGGTCATTGCAAAGATCAAATGGGATAATAATTGTAAAGTGCTTAGCACAGTATCTGGAACAAAGCAGGCACTATATAAAGGCCAGCTATTATTAAGTATTTGCAGAATAAATAAAAAGAGAATAAATATGTGCAACTACAGTATAGCAGGGTGGGCAAGGTGGTAGCAGTTGGAGGTGATCAGGAAAGTCTTCCTGTAGAAAAGGTACCTGAGCTGAGTCTTAAACGAAGAAAAGGTGAGGCAAAGGTGAAGACAAAGTACATTCCAAGAATAGAGGATGGTCAGTGCAAAGACATGGAGATGGGAGATTTTTTTTCTTTTCCTCTTAATTCTAGTGCCTTCCTTCTCTTATTATATCCTATTTCTTCTATATATAGCTTGTTTGTATATATTTGCTTGCTTATTGTCTTCCCCATTAGATCTTAAGCTTCCTGAGGGCAGGGACTATCATCTGACTCTTTTTGAATCCCTAGAACTTAGCCCCATGCCTGGAACATAGTAGGTGCTTAATAAATGCTTATTGACTGCCTGAGATGGAGCATTATATATAAGGAAAAGAGAGAAAGCTTCTTTGAGGATTGCTCTATCCATGATGGCCCATGGGTCATTTATTCCATTTCGTGAGAAACTTGAACCTACTCCCCTTAGAGTTCCCAGAACTTGGTAACCAGGACTTCTTGGTCCCCAGAGGCACTGCCAACCTCACATTCTTGGCCAATATCTTTGTCGGAGATAACACAAAATCAATATTTGTGGTGTTAACAGGATTTTTTCCTCTCCTCAAGGACAAATTAAGGTTACAATGCAGAGTGGTTCCACCAAGGTTGCTCCATCCTCAAAAACCCAGGGCTATTTTTTTGGTCTGGGGGCAGAGATGTTGTCCAATATACTCTCATCAGTTAAGAGAGAGAAGCCAACAGCAGCAGGAAATCATACTAGTTTGAGAGTGGGAAGTCAGACTGAACAGGTTGGTGATTCTCCTTGCCCAACAGCAGGGAGTAGAAACCTGGCTGGCTTAGAAGCCCACACCCTGCTTTGTGGAGGAAAGGGAGGGCAAGGACAACTCCCTCCCCTTCTGCTCCTCCATTGCTCAAAGATTCTACTGGCTTCCCCATTCCACTGCCAATAACCTTATTCTCCTTTCTGATTTTCAGTGGTCTTCTCAAGCACCATGATAAAGGCACTGTTTACAGTTGTTAGTGAAGAGTCCCTTCTGACTTATGGGAATTAGCAGCCAAAGCCAGAGAGAATTACAGAATCTCACAGTTGGGAGGGACTTCAGAGGTCATCTAGTTCATGCCTGAATAGGAATCCCTTCTTCATCCTTTCTAAAAAGGGATGGTCAAGTTTCTTCTCAGAGTCCTTCAGTGGGGGAGAACCTGCTAACCATCCCAATTCGGGAGAAGCTCTGATTGTTAGGAAGTTTTTCCTTACATTCACCTAAATCTGCTCATCCATCCTGAAGTCAACAGGCATTAATTATTAAGTGGCTCTCTGTAGTTTCCATTAATTACTCTTCCTAAATCCTGGTGCTTAGAACCACTCAGAAAATTTCACAAGTTTTCTGATGAGGGAAGAGAACCAGGAGACTTTTACCTACCTCACCTGCTCTAGACTCATCATTCTTAATGTTGCCTGAGCTTGTATTCATGACTAGGCTGCCGTGTCACAGTGTTGACCCATACCCAGCTTGCAGTCCAGCTCTTTGTAAATAAAAACAACTCAATTCTTGGAAACAACTCTTGGTCCTTTTATCTTGTTTCTCATTATATTCAGTCAAGGGGAAAAGGGAGGAATTTAAGCGAAGACAAACTGGATTACTAGATATTCTCTGAGCTTGGCATTCCAACTTCTATCTCCTTGGTACAGGCTGTCCCTGGTGCCTGGAATTTACTCCCTTCTCACCTCCGCCTCTTAGAATTCTTAGTTTAGGGTTAGAATCAGGGCTCAGATCAGATGCTATATCTTTTATAAAGCCTTTTCTGATCATCCTACAGAGATTGCTAGTGCTTTTGTCATCCTCAAATGAGCTAGTATTTATTTGGTTGTATTCCACTAGAATGTGAGCTCTTTGGGAATAGGGACTGGTTTCATTGTACCTCCAGTACTGTGTACA